CGATTGTGGTGGGGGGGGGCAGCGGCGACCAGGAATTGCTAGAGAAAGTGGGGTGCTAAGAGATGCCGGTGATGGTGGCTGAAGGTTGTGGTGGGGGGCGGGGCTTGCGGCGACCAGAATTGGTAGAGGTGGGGTGGGAAGAGATGTCGGCAATGGTGGCTAGCGGAAATTGGGGGTTGATTGGAGGGTATTTTGGACCATTCCTCCCCAAAGTTAACTACTTTCAAACCGGGAACATCATTCTCGGACGGAGGGAGTATTATTTATTTAATTTGTGTTTTTCTTGGTTGATAAGGTTTTTGACTTCAAGTACTAAAGTTATTGTTCTAATCAAATAGTAAAACATTATAAAACTTCAATAGTCTAGTTTGTGTTCTACACTTTCAAATTTAAAATAAATTTTTGTTGAAACTTATTTTTTGATTGTGTGTGTCACTTCTATTTACCACTTATTAATGTTTGTGAGAATTGATTCATATAAAATCAACCTATTTGAATCTCCACTCCAATATTTGTTTATTTATACTACCTCCGCTCCTAAGTATTTGTTCAGTTTTGACATTTTTCAGTCAACTATTTTCAATCTATTATCTATAATTAAATAAAATATATATTGTATTTCAACTAAATAAAATAATATTTTGAAAATATTTGATATAATAAATCTAATAAAACTCTTTTTGTATCAATATCTAATATCATTTTTATTTAATTTAAAGTCAAAATTTATAAATTTTAACTAAAAAAGTCAAAAGTGGACAAACACTCAGGGATGGAGAGAGTTGTGATTTTGTAATGTCATTTTATTTACATCGTTTTGCAGGTATTCTTCTTGCAATAACAGAAGAGTGTAGACTTTAAATAAATACAAATTACTCCGTAGATTATTATTTTTATGTTCTTTGGATTCACATTTGAAAATATTATCAATCTTTGATGTAAGTTTGGTGAAAATTTCCCTGCAAAGTACTTTCGATTCACACTTTTATTGGTGAAATATATTCTAATCTACACTATTAAATTGTGTTATTGTCAATTTGGCATTCATGCTTTAACCATTACAAGTGTATAATGAAGACTTTGCATGGGATTTATTTGCCTCTTACATGAAAGTTTTACTAAATTCAATGGAGAGTAACTCTTATGTCAATGACCTCATAGGTATTAATCATCTCTGAATGCATTTTCACAGAGTATGTATTACTACAAGTGAGGATATAGAACGCCAAAATACGTCATAAACAAAAACGATACTGACCCTAAGTAAATATTTTTTGAGAATATTCATTTTTGGGAATTTGAAATTAATTTTTGAAAAATTAATTCAAATTAGGGCTTTTAAATATAGAATTTCAAAAATAAATTTTATAAATTCTGGGAATTTTATTTTTAGACTTATAAAATCATAATGCACATTTGTAATTTATTTATTAATTTTCGATAGGTATAAGTATTTATTTCAAATTAAAATCCCAATTTCGAAATTAATACTTATACTTACGTCAATTATTTATTTTAAAATTCAGGAAAATTCAAAATTAAAGTTTGGATATCTGGAGTTTTAAAATATTTAAATAAAATTATTTGATAATTTTCTGGCTTGTAATTTAATTTTTCTTAGAATAAACTATGTTTGGAGCGAGCGCAGCTTGCCCGGTGTATGGATTTTAATGCATGTGATTTATGAATGTTAGAGAACCAAACATGAAATGATACTCTATTAATAAAGACTATCCATATGATTTTCATTTCCTTCCTCAACATAAATCTCAAGGGTCAAAATGGGAACCAATTTAAAAAACCTTCAAATATATTTGATACATAAATAATGAATCCCATATCATTTAAACTAAGATACATGCCGTGCAATGATCACGTACTCCGGTAGAACCGTGGAATCCTACTACATATAAATGGGGAGGGTACCTCTCCGAATGGATATTAAAAGGCCACGGGGGGTTTTACAAAGGACAGTCTTATGTACACTCCAAGATACATGCTCCCATGGTCACAAGGGCAACAAAAGTGATGCCTAGATCCACACAAAAAGAGACCACTTACCAGTGTCCCAAAGATACATGGAATGATGGCACAAGAAGCAAGAGATCACAAGCCCCGCCGCCACGGAAAATTCTATACCAAAATACACCATATATATATATTTGGTCGTCTTAACTTATGATGACGATGATGATGATGACTTCATGTCCTTGAGCACTCCACCCTTCTCTAGTTCTGTTACAAGGTCCCTCAATGCGGGAACCTTCATGGCAAGGGTCCTATACAATCTGGAGTACCTGGCTCGGGTTCCATCTGCTGTCCTAGCAAGGGCAAGGTGGCTTAAGGACTCTGGAAGATGTGTGAAGAGCTGTTTTATATCCTCCAGGCTCATGTTTTCAAGAACAGTTGGTCTTGGAACAACTCTCACAATCTCACCTCCTTTCGGTTCTTGAACTCGGGCCTCAGCTTTGATCACCAGTTCAGAATTTGAGTTGGCCCCACATTTGATGAGAAAAGGGGGGGATGTCGAACCTGTGTTGAACTGAAGAACATTCCAATGTACAACCTCAGTTTCCTCGACAGACCCCCCTGCATCTGCACTTCTCTCCAGAGGAGCATTTACGGTGTCATCCTCTTCAGGAATTGACTGCATCAAATCATAAGAAACAGGTAATTTAAAAAAAACAGACCTGAAAGCCGAAGACATTAAGGTTCATGTAGAGTCTTCATATCAACTCTACACTTTCCATTTTTGGATGTCTAGAAACAAAGTTTATAGTCTTTATACCTCTCCACTTTCTTTAATAAGAAATACATATGTGGACAACTTCACTTCTCTATTTCAATTAAATTTCAACCACAGCCTTCACTTTTCACCAAACACCTTTTACTTTTCAACAACTTTCTTAAACTTAGAAGTTAAATTGTCAAGTTGGTTAGAGAGACAGATGGAGAATTAGAGGGTATTTGGGAGTGTGGTGAGTAATGTAAAAGTAGAAGTCATAATTTAGAAGCAGAAAGTAGGTATTTTTAGCTTTGCTAGAAAGCACTTCTAGACCTTATTTTTTACTTCTAAACCCATAATTTATAAGCTAAAGCAGATTACCAAACATTTTAAATTGTTTTTTAGTAAAATAGAAACTATAAGGGTCCGTTTGGTATACGGAATTGATGGATTTGGAATTGAATTGGAATTGAAATTTCATGGGATTCAATTCCATATAATTGAATTCATCAATTCCAATTCATTTTTTGCACTACCAATTCCAAATCCATATAATTTTTGTGCTACCAAACACCAAAATTAAAATTAAAGTCTTCAATTCCAATTCCATAGTTTGAATTCCGTGTACCAAACGGAGCCTAAGTTATTTTCAAATGCACTCTCAAACACCAT